AGCTTAACGACTCCATGTGCTCAGAATAGAGCTGGTATGTTGGGAGCCTTCACCGTGGCAAGAACCTGGCGGAGGTCAGGCGAAGGTCAGCCTGAGTGTGCCCTCAGGAACCCTGACGTGGTGCCCATGAGCACAGTGACCCCCAGGCCACTTGGACATCAGCAGGCCTGGCCAGGGCTTCGGGATGACCCTCCTTCTCCTGCCCCTGAGCTGTAAATGAAAAGGAAACAGAAGACCTGGGCGGAGGCGGACCAGAGAAAGGGGAGGGGAGAGCACGTCCAGAACGGCCTCTGCTCCTTCCTCTCCCTGCCTCCTCCCTACTGTACTTCGGGGGTAACCTGCTCCTGGGGACCCCAACCTGAAACAGATGGTCTCCTAACAGTGCAGCCCTCTCCTCCAAATCCTTCTAAAAGGGACAGAGATGTGGACACAGCAGTGAACCTGAGGTTTGTCATGCACACACTTGCCCAGAACAGCCCAGCCCCACAGAGCCCAAGGCCAGAAAGACAGATGGACCCAGAACTTACTGGGGCATCTGGGGCAGCAAGACCAGTCGGATCCCCACACACTGGGCCACGACAGTGACTGCGTCCTGACCGGAACGCCCCTCATTTATCTCAGGATAAAATCAGCGCCAGGCACATCCCTGGCACCAGGGTTCAGAGGCAAAGCTGCATGTGCACACTAAGGCTCGCTTAGTGACAGCTGGAAACACTCAGGGGACCAGCGAGGTTGCTCCGGGGCCATCACGGCCACCATGATCAAGACGCTGCCCTCGTGTCAAGCTGAAACCCCACCCACCCACGCATGTGGACAACAAGCCACCCTCGTGTTGCCCACTATTAAAAACATCCATTAGGGGGTTTTTCTTCCTGATCAGGAGGACGTGAGCCACCTAGGAAATTAAAGTCTAGAATAATTCATGAAGAACAAAAGACAGAGTCAGAATTAGTTTTAAAGGATGGAGCATCTGATAGGTCAAGTCCACACAGAGCTCCCATGGTTTATTTAAGGGGATACATCAAAGGCAGGGATCAGGGATCAGAGGTGGAGTCTTGCTCTGTGAGTCTTGCAGTCAGCAGGCTGATTGACATCTTGGCAGGTCACACCAGTCTCAGTACCCCTGTGTTCAATCCTCAGTACCAATAAATAAATAAATAGGGCTGGGGGGTGTGGCTCGGTGGCCAAGTGCCCTTGGGTTCAATCCCTGGTACAAATAAGTAAATAAATAAAAGTGCAAAGACCTGGGGTGGGGGGAAATCCACTTTAAAAGAACTTCATTTCTTCTTTTAACAGAATCTGATCCATGGTCTGACTTACGCAGAATTAGTTGAGATGACCAGCTAAAAGGATTATTTGCCAAAGTAAAACTGACCCCAGATATTTGTTTAGAGTCATGGCCCAAACGAATCCTTCCCCCAGGCTCAGAGCTAGGAGGATGTTTGGACAGGGTCCCCCGGGGCCGCGCTGCCGCCCCCACCAGTAGCGCACAGAGGCAGCGACAGCGTGTGAGGCCTGGCTCTCTCTGGGATCGTCCACCCTGTTTACTTCCACGGCTGCTGTGGCCTCATGGAGGCCAGTCCAGCAGAGCCTCCCTCATGGTGGACTCTCTGGCCTCCTCCGTCCTTCTTCCCAACGACCACCCGGTGGTCCAAAGTGGCATGAGGATTGTTACCTGATGCCAGTTGTGGCCTCAGTGTCCAGCCCCTAAGAGGCCAGAAGTACCAGCACCCAGCAGCCAAGGCCAGAACCCAAGCTCCAAATGGGGAAGCCGGATGCACTGTTGTGCTGAGGTCAGAAAGAGCCAAAGATTTGAAACATTTCAATTGTTTCACTTAAAAATATTTAAGGCTGCGACAGGGTCAGAGTTCACCACCTCTGCCCCCTGGGGAAACCTGGTGGCCGCTTCCCCAGCCACTTGGAATCAGAGCAACAGTTTCAAGTGCCTTGGTTTCTTTCTAAATAAAGGCAAACAACATGGAATCTCCATCAGGCATGGGAAGCCAAAGCAGCCCCCCTGGCTTCTGTTTGACTCCATTTAGTGGAACACGGCTTTCGGCAGTGTGGGAGGAGGGAGAAGATAAGCTACTGCTACCAGAAACACCCCCGAAACCTGACCCTGCTTTGAAAGAGGGCTGGGCGGGACGAGGCCAGCCTGCACTGCAGCTGGAGCCTCGTGGCCTGGCGAGGCCCAGGCGGCCGGCTGGCTCTCTCCTGTACGTGAAGGGAGAAGTAAATGACAATGCCACTCAGAACATCTGCACACCCAGGTGCACACAGTGGCCTTGACCTGGGCTTTGTGCCTGCAGAGCCCTGTTCCCCGATGCCCTAGCATGTGAGAGGGCAAAGGGACGCCCCACATCACAGGCTACGCACCAAAACTCTTCTGCATGCGGGTGGCAGCAGGAGGCACCCCCCAGGAGAGGCAGGCTGTGGAGAGAGCAGGCCTCTCTCTGAGGTCTGGGCTCCATGTTGACCAGGTGCTGGGGCTGGGGCCCAGCAGGGTCAAGCGGATGCCTGTGCACCTGACCACCAGCCCGGAAGTCCACCTACAGCCTGACTCCTCTCTGCCTGCCCAAGTCCCTTTGCTCCTGGCTGCTCTCTGCCAGCGGACCCCCTCCACCCAAGTGTCCTCTGCTCAGAGAGGACTTGACCCCTTTTCTAAACCAATACCCCTTCCTCGCAGCTTCAATGTCCCACAGGACACCACATGTCCACTGGTCACTGAGCCCCTCCAAAGGCCACCTCTCAGGGCAGGGACAGTGTCTGTCTCAGGGAGGAGGTGGATGGAATGAGGGTGTGAACAGGTACATGCTGGGGGGTAAGGCAGTGTGGCCAGGCCCCTTCCTCCTTGTGGGCCTCTGAGCTCAGGTGATGGTCAGGCGTCCTCTAGCCCCAAAGGAGCTCACTGCTGTCAGGAGCCAGCCCCACCCACCCAGGAGGGGCACCTGCTGCCTGCTCTAGCCTGGTCTTCGCGGGAGCTGCAGCGCCCTCCTCTGCACGGGAGGAAAACAGCACCACAAGGGAGCTGTGCACAGCAAGCCCAGGGAGGGGGCAGTGGCCGCGCAGGCACCCAGCACCCAGCTCTATAGGCACCATATCTCGGGCAGAGCCGAGGGCCCAATGGCAGCCCATCTCAGTCCACGCTTTACAGACTGGACAAGGCCAGGAGCTCCTGAGACGCCACCATTTCCAAGGACAAGGAAGATCCGGTAGAGCCACCTCTAGCAAAGCAGCAGCCCTTGACTTTCCGCATGAAAATGCACCTGGGAGAAAGCGTCTGCAGGGCAGGTGGGCCTCCAGCTCTGGAGCACCTGAAGGGGCTGGCGGAGGACCCACTCCCTCTGCTCTGCCAGGAGGGGAGCAGCCAGGCTGCGGGACCACGGCTCCTTTAAAAGGTACAGGCTGCATGAGTCACCTTCCAAGGTGCTGTAGCCCCCGGGTTTTCCTGCCCAAGGCGCAGGGCACTGTGGCGGGGCCTACAGCCACTGCAGGAAGCCACTCTGCCATCAGATGAAATCAGCCCTCGGGGAGCAGAGGTGGCTCCCCCCATCACCCAGCTCCTGGCCACAGGGGCCATCTCTATGAAGAACAACCCGCCTGTGCCTGAGGACCAGGAGCCTCACAGGACGGGTGCCTCTGTCCATGCCTAAGGAGCCAGCCTGCCAGGGTCACCCTCCACCCTCTGAGTCAGGAAGCAACTGGAGAAAGAGAACACCCAAGCACAGGGACAATGAGCGCTCATCGGCCCTGGTCACCTGCAGGAGTGTGGGTGTGAGAAATCAGCGTCCACCTTGCCTGAGACAGTGGTGCTGGGGTTTCTATCATGCACAGCCAAACACAGCCACCCTCCCCACCCGCCATCTCCCTGCTCCAACAGCCTCTGCTGTGCCTGTGTCTGGGCGGCTCCACGCGGCCCTCCACACCACTGCCCACCTTCTCCCAGAATTCCAACATGACACTGCCCCTCACCTACCCCTTGCTTTGAATCTCTGAGAAGCTTCCTGGTACTTCCTGATAAAGACAAAAGCCCTATCCTGGCCTGCAAGGATCTTGCTGTGCCCGGGTCAGCTTCTCAGGTGGGCCTGAACCTCCCATAATGGCCCAGCGCGGTGACCTTGACACCATGCACCCCCCAGGGCCAAGGCCCTCCTCTGTTCTTTGTCTGGGAGGCCCTCCCGTGCCCTATGTGCCACCTCATGCTCCAGGGCTACGTATCCTGCTCCCAGGCCGTGCCTGCCCAGGGCCTCCGACAGCCTTCCCCACCTCCCGGAGCACTGAGGGCGCAGGCCATGGCAGCCCACGGTCCTGCAGTGGCTTCCGCTCCCTGTGGATGTGCTGAGAGCAGGAGCTCACCACCACGCCCCACCACAGGGCCTCCCGGCATCCGCATTGGCTTCTGGGGACTCCACGGGCCTCTTCCATGGAGACTGCGCAGCCTCAGCGTCCGCCCAAGCAAGACCTGACAGTGGGCCTACCCACAAGCAAACCACCCTCCAAAGGAGCCACGCCCACTGCTGCTTGTCAGGGCACTCGAGGGGCCCGAGGCCGACTCAGCCCCAGCAGAGTGCAGCACTGGGCACAAGGACCCTGTAGAGGGAGCAGGAAAAGGCCACAGCTCCCACCTTCAGGCCCCTGTAGAGCATGCAAGCCATTCCTGAAAGTCACACGGCAGCCGGCACTGGCTCTAGGGACATTCGTCACTGCACGTCCCCACAGCAGGTGTGTGCTCCATGAGGTCGCTGCAGGCACGCAGGCCACCTCCACTCTTGCACCCCTTGCACTCCCACCCCCAGCGCAGTGCTCTGGGGGCCCTCGCGGTCTCAGTGGTGTCCCTCAGCTCTGCCCTGGGGCCAGGCCCGAGGGGACTCTCAAGAGGGCACAGGGCTGGGCCCTCCTGGCAATCCAGGGCAGTCCAGGCTAACCTGCAGACGGGAAAACCCTCTGACAGCAGGTCCGCAGGGAATAAGGAAAATAAGAACCACCAGAAGGGACACAGCCAGCGTTCAGATGGTCTGATCTTAGACACAAACACAAAGTGATATCAGTATAAAACACTGTGCAGCAAATAAAGTTCATTTTGTTCATATAAAATCCAGTAAGAAAAACATAATTTTGCCATTTAGATGATTCATAAAATACATTTTGCTAAAAAAAAAAAATCGAAACTAAGTTACAAATAGTGACAACCTCCATGGACTACAGAGGGACCAGTGGGCCTCATGCACACCTCAGGTAGAATAAGGTGACTGGAGGCCACCAGATTCCTGTTCACACTGAGAACTCACCCTTGGCCTTGGTCAGTGTTGGCAGCCCTAGGCTGGACACAGGCATTTCAAAAATGACCAGGGTACACATGCTCCTCCCTAAGCCAGGCCCAGGCCACCAGGGCAGGGCCACATGCTGGGGAGAGGAGAGGCAGGGGAGGTCCGCAGGGCAGGCGTGTGTGGCAGGTGCTGCCGGCCCCTCACTGGTAGATGACCTTCACACAGAAGGCCTCTTCATTCTTGTCTTCGTGGTCATTGATGTAAATCAGGATCTCCTCCTGCCCCACTCTCCCGCCCGGCGCAAACCGCAGGCCGATGGTGTAGGTCTCGCCTCCTCCCACCTGGAAGAAGCATTGAGACCCCAGTGTCCACCCTGAGCTGCGTCACCTTTACCAGCAGCTTCTCAGGGCTAGGGATGGAACCCAGGCTCAGGGTGCCAGGCAGGCCTCCACACTGAGCTACACCAGCCTCACAGCAGCGTCCAGAGAGGTGACTCAGGTGAGGTAGGCTCCCTATAGGCAGGTGGGGCACATGGCTGACAAAGGACGTCCATGACCAGCCCGGGACCCAGTGCCTGGAGGGACGGGCACCAGGCCTGCAAGGGCAGCACTGCTGGGGCTGGAGGCCGCTCCTCTCCTGAGCTCCCTCCCAACACTGCTGTGGAGACCCTAGCCACCAGCCTGCCCTCTCAGAAGCTGGCTGCCTGCGGACCCCTGAGGTACTACCCCCGCAGGACGCACCCTCGACCTTCCTGATGGGGGACGGCCTCGGATCTGGGCACAACAGTGAGGAGCTGCAGAGGGGCAAAGCCACCAAGGCCTCTTGCAACAGTGCTCTCAGCCAGAGTATCCAGCGAGAGGCGGTGGGCTCTCAGCGAGTCTCCTGCCTCCCGGCACCTCACCAGGGGGCTGGGGCACCTGCCACCATCCCCAGACTCACCCCTCCTGGACGCAGCACTGACCACCCAGCGCCAGCCCTCCCACACGCCTCCCAAGGCCCCCGTGCAGCCCCTGCAGCACCTGAAAGCTGTCCTCCTTGAACTGCAGCAGGTCAGGGTGGTCGCTATACAGGCGGTAGGTCCTCCGGGTGGGGTAGGGGTTGGTGTAGGTGATCCGCTTGTTGACGCCCTTCCCTTCACCCACCGCCATCGTGATCTCAAAGGCCTGGAGAAGGTGGGCCAGGTCCCAGTCACGGCCCAGGGCTCCTTCTCCAAGAACTTCCTGAGCCCAGCCCCAGACACCAGGACATCCACGCAGATGAGAGGGACAGACGGTGCAGGAGCAAGCACCCCCACCCCGCCCCACACAGCCCTGGATCGGGACAGCCCAGGGCACAGGGCAGGTGATACCCAGGTGACACCCTGTCACCTGAAGAGCACAGAGAAGTCCTGCAGTGCCTCCTCCCGCAGCCTCACACAGACCTTGGAGATGAGCGGCTGGTGGCAGGAGAGGCACAGGAGCCAGGAGGCCACCAGCTGGTGGTAGTCCACGTCCACCAGGTTGAGGTGGATGAAGCGGCTGCCGGCCCTTCTGGGCCTCACGGCCACATGCAGGTCCTGTACCCCATGTGGCGGCAGCACAAAGACACCTGCGGGGTCTGTCTTCAGGAGCAAGGGGAGAGTCAGATTGCAGCCTCTGGGTTCACAGACACAAAGTCTCCCAGGTACCCAATCCCACCAACCAGGGCAACTCAAAGTCACCAGGTTGTTCAGGTGACAGCTCAACAGGCTCAGGAGCCACCCGGGTCTAGAGCCTGGCCCCTGTTCCCGCACTTTGGGTCTATGGTAGGCAAGGCCCACCCATGGTGACCCTTCCCTAAGCAACCTGGGTTCAGAACACAGGCCTGTGGGTGGAATCTGCATGGCCTCATGTTGTGTCCCCGGGGCGTCTCCGATCCCAGAGTCCTTCCGGTGCACCTGTCCCGTGGCCGCACCGGCATGCCTAGCAAAGCCAGCTTAGGGCCGGGAGGACCCTGCGGCAGTTCGGCAGGGAGGAGGCTCACCTGCAGCTCCTGGGGGTGCGAGGCAAAAGCTCTCACTTTCCTCACTCTCTGTGTCCCCCGGAGGACAAGGGACAGGCGGCTCAGTTGGCCCGCAACACAGGAGACGTCGACACGCTGCAGGGAGTGGAGGCAGACCCGCCACGTCTGCACAGGCACTGCCAGCCAGCGGTCCCTGCGAGGGACAGGGGCTGTCTGCAAGTGTCCTCAGAGAGACAGCAAAAGCCCCTGAGAGTGAGTGTGCTGGGGAGCAGGGGAGGGGGCAAGAGCCGAGGAGGCCAGGCTGGGCCAGCTGCCTCCGCCCTGGCCTCCACCTGCCCACCTACACAGAAGCCCTTGGCGGGGCTCAGACACTGCCTGTCCCTGCACCTAGGACTGTGCACATGGGATGAAGGAGGGCCTGAGCTGGCCCAAATGCCTCGGAACAGCTGTGAAGGGTGGTGGGCTGCCCGTAGGGGACGGGGGGCCCGGAGGTCACAGGTCTGAACACAGGGCTGTGAAACTTCATGACTGCATCACAAAGCAGGGCCAGTGACGCACCTCCAGGGGTTGTTAGGAGGAGTCAGGGCTGAGGTGTTCTCATGGCAGGGGAGGCTGATGCAGCCTCTCACCCTGGATGCAGCTCACCCTTACCCTGGCCTGTCCTGGAAGCCCTGCAGGAAATCTCCCGGCTTGCACCAGTTAGAGGGCTCCAAGTGGCTGGGAGACAGGGCCCAGGAGAAGACAGTGAAGGGACTGCAGCTGTCTAACTGGGCAACTTGATCATGGTCTTGGGGTGGTGTCAGCCACTCCCAACTCCAATCCCTCCAGGGGTTCAGCCCATAAACTGGGGAGGAAACAGCTGCCAGGCTTCCTGGGCTGACCGTTCCCTGGGTGGGCAGGGAGCATCCGAGTCTCTCCAGTCACTTGTGCTGCTCCAGCAGAGGATGCCCTCTGCAGGGCCCTACTGGCCCTAGAACTCAGCAGTCCTGCCTCTCAGACGGACACGGCCCCCCATCCACCAGCAGCCCCGACCTGCCCCCCCCAGCCCCGCCTGCCCTTTCCAGATCTGTTGTCTTGAGTACTCACGCATAAATGATGACAAAGAAGTCTTTCATCTCTGGGCTTGGACCACTAGCCACCTTCAGAAACACATCCCGGGGCTCCCCAGGGCCCTGCCAAGCAGACGTGGGGGGCATGGGGGCCAGCACCACCTGCCTCCCCCCTCTAACCCTAGTCTGGCCCCTAAAGTTGCCTGAGGCCTGTGCAGCTGGGGCAGGTGTGCAGCCAGGGCAGGTGTGCAGCCGGGGCAGGTGTGCACCCGGGCTGGTGTGCACCTGGAGCAGGTGTGCAGCCGGGGCAGGTGTGTACCCAGGACAGGTGTGCACTGGGGGCAGGTGTGCAGCCAGGGCAGGTGGGAGCCCCTCCCCAGGTGCATCCTCCTGGCACTCGTCAGCATTCACCAGCCTGTTCAGTGAGGGAGCAGTCGGCAGCTCCTTGGTTCTATGTTGATTTCAATAATTACATTGCACAGATTTTATCCAGGCTCCCAGCTAGTCATAGCACAGTTACTGCCGCCATCCCTTGACGACAGTAATTAATAAGTGCCTTAATTACCATTCGTTTTATTCACTTTGCTTCGTGCCTTTTCTTAAAATTTAAATGCAGCTGATCAGAGGACTGATCTGCTAGCAGAGAAAATAAAGACCTGCTCGGGAAGCCCTCAAGGGTGTCCCCAGAGCCCTTCACCACCTTGAAAAGAAGCCACTCAGCTAAAACCCCAGCAGAAGCGACATGGGGCGAGGACAACGTCCCCACAACATACCACACTCTGGGCCTCACAGAGGACATTGGGGTCGCTGCATCGCACGTGGATGGGGAGGTCCTCGCCAGGCATTCCCACTGGGGCACCTGCAACAGGGAAGGGGACAATGTTGCCACTCGCCTAGCGCGGCCTGTGGGCAATGCAGGCTGCAGGTCGCGGGCACAGGAGCTGACAGCCTGACCTACAGTGTCCCCACAGGGGTGGGAGACAGACCCAGGAGGAAATAGCAGAGGGACTAGGGTCATTCAACTGGGTGAGGGCAGTACAGGGCAGCTCGATCATCACCATGGGGTCTCTGTGATGACCTTCTAGCCCCTTCCATGGAGAGTCACCCAAAGGGAGTGACCTAGAGGTGAACAGGAGCCCCACCAAGCACAGAGGCCTCACCTGGCTGTGAAGGTACCTGCCAGAACGTTGGAGAGCCCCGGGGGGGAGCCATCTCCATGGCCCTCACTTCTTACGGGGACAGGCCCTGGCGCAGAGCTCTTAGGGTTGGAAGGGTGGCATCAGAGGAGGCAGAAGGGTGGTGGCAGGGTTTGCCACACAGCATGGGGGACTCCATGATGCCACTTGCCACCTTGGGCAGAGGCCTCTTCCAACCACCTGAACCTGCCAGAGGCCACCACAGGAACGGCAGGGGACTTGCCGGGAAGCGTATGCCAGGGAGGCAGGCGGATGGCCTTCTTCAGGAAGGTGAGTTCCGGGTGGTAGAAGCGGAAGATCTGGTCCACAACGTGGGGCTGGGGCTCCACGGTCAGCTGGAGCATAGCGAGGAGCTTCCCGCTGCTGGCCCGGAACAGCACCTGCAGGACAGCAGCAGCCAGGCCTCAGGACAGGAGCACAGACTGTGCAGCTTCACGTCCCTCCCAAGGCAGCACAGAGATCTCACTGCCCTCCTCAAGAGAGGCGGAAGACAGGCATTGTCAGAGATGCAGGGACAGGGTTCACAGTACAGGGCACTGGGGTCCTGAGTGGACAGTGAACGTGCCGCTGCCATCCTCTCAAGTAAGGCATGCCCCTTAAATGCTGTCCCCGCTGCAGTCCCCCCTGGGTGTGTGGCAGTCACTCAGAAGGCCTCGCCATCGCCCTCATCAGGCCATGGTGGTAATGGGCAGCTGTGTTCAGGACTGAGCTCTCTGCTTGAGGGCTTTCCAGACAGAGAAGCAGGCTGTGCTGAAACCAAGACGGCTCAGAACGCGCCAGATGTGGTCATGCACACCTGTCACTCCAGCGGCTCTGGAGGCTGAGGCAGGAGGATCGTTAATTCAAAGCCAGCCTCAGCAAAAGTAAGGCACTAAGCGACTCAGTGAGACCCTGTCTCTAAATAAAACACAAAATACAGCTGGGGATGTGGTTCAGAGGTTGAGTGTCCCTGAATTCAACCCCTGGTACGAAAAAAAGAAGGCTCAGAACAGAAAGCCTCCTCTTCAAAAAGTTATTGCAAAAAACTTACATTCAAGAGTGGTGCTTATTTATCCTTATTTCGTCCTCCACGCAGGCAAGTGTGTGGACACAAAGGCATACATACACAAGCACACGCATGCACATGTGACCCCGGAGGCAGTGGCAAGCAGCACAGATTCAAGAGCTTTCTGTCTTGTTTGACAGTCTGTGAACTCCTTGGTTAATTTTTAGAACTAAAGAGGAAAGCTCTATTACGAAAACAAAGCAACAGAGCTTGCAGGACCCCAAGCTGGTGGCACCATCACAGAGGAGAATTCCTCCAGTAAGTCTAAAGTACAGGACAGGGACCCTAGGGCAAATGCACTGCTGGAAGCCTTAAGCTGCAGTACTCTTGTCCGGGTCTCTGAAATACACAGATGGACACACATTTGCCAGCATGGCCGGTGGCTTCAGGGCCAAAGGGGTCTGACCAGGGTGGTCAAAGACTGGCTATATACAGGAAAACTAGGCAAATAAGTAAATATGTCAAAGACAATGGGAGCCAGGTTCCTCACTATCAGACACTGGGGTTCAAACATGGAGAAAGACAACAGGAATAAACCCTGTGGTGCTGGCCTGGTCTTGAAGCACAGTGTGAGTCTATGGTCTTCAACCCATACAGTTAGAACAAAGGTCTGTGCACATGTGGGCACACACAGATATCTACATGTCACATGCACAAGGACACACGTATGTGTGGGTGTGCATGTCCATATAGGCATATGCCTCCTGGGCCCCTCTGCTGAGCAGTAGTGACACCCCAGCAGCAGTGAGCACACCAAGGACCAACCTTGGTTTCTAACTACCGTCCTGCTCTGACTCTGAAATGGGCAGGGAGAGATGAGAGGAGCTTGTATTCCCTGTTATGCCAGGCAGAGAGAAGGGCTCCAAGGATGGCAGGGACGTGGAACAAGACAGGCGCCAGCTTGAAGGGGCTGCCACTTGTCAGACGGGGGCAATGCAAATGTCAGCAGCAAAATAAACAATGGCAGTGACAAACCAGTAAGATAGGAATGAATAGCCCATAAGATGTAAAACTGAGTGAGCAGACGGGGGGTGGGGGCAGGTAAGGCAATGCTCTGTCTCACTCAGAATGCAACCACCAGAGCAGGAGGGTGGAACTGAAAAACCCCCAGGTCACCTGTCACGCTGTCCCTGATTCAGGCAAGATGTCAACTGCTACCTTGGGTGAACGTCTGTAAGAAACAGGATACTTCCATAGCCTCGGAATATCTTCTGACAAAATACTTGAATACTCATGACTTTCTAATTCTAAACACAAAATACTTCAGTGATTTTACAGGGACAAAGCATGGCAATGTCACCCTAAGTGAAAAAGCTAACACTGCCACTGACAGGACGAATCAACGCTGCCTTCCTTCCAAAGTGGCGCTCTGAGAACAAGCATATGCTGGGTGGTAGCATCCTGCCCCAGGTGCGCAGGCGGACTCTAGTCACCAGCAGACTGCAGGCAAGCCCCACAGGACACTCCGCAAGACGACCAGCCAAGAGCTCGGCATCACCAGGGCCACAGAGGAGAGCCCGGCAGCAGGGCAGCCAGGACCACCCAGCACCCGGGAGCCCGAGCAGGCAACGACCGAGCACCAGAGGGACACTGTGGAATGGGGATGGGGCCTGTGACAAGATCACGCCAATTCAGGATCCTCACAATTCTACGTTTTCAGGACAGACCAGCTCTAAGCTTCAGAGCACAATGGAGCATTTGGTCAATAATTTATTTTCAAAACTGTTCAAGAAGCCAGGCGTAATGGTGCACGCCTGTAATCCCAACAGCTCAGGAAGCTGAGGCAGGAGGATTCCAAGTTCAAAGTCAGCCTCACCTGCCGCAGTCTAGCTGGGCACAAATCACGAGCCACTGAAGCAGGAACAAATTTTATTTCTGAACTCCACCAGCACACTTCACACACACTCCCGGTAACTCTCCCGAACGCCACGCGGCTCCTCCAGGAACCACCAACGGGAATCCCTCCTCCGGCACTTCCCCAACCAAAGCGAACTCTTCAGGAATCCCCGTGAGAGCTCAACTGGAACTCAATGGGAACTCCGCGAGAACTCAAAAGTCATCATCTTAATGGCTCGCTGGCGTCACCTCTCAACCACTACTTCTGGCAAAAATGCCATGCGTCATCCCGACTCGGCTGTGGCCCTCAACACTCACCAACTTGGTGAGGCTCTAAGCAACTTAGTGAGACCCTGTCTCAAAAATAAAAAGGACTAGGGATGTGGCTCAGTAGTAAAGCACCCCTGGGTTCAATCTCTGGTACCAAACCAAAAAAAAAGAAGCAGCTCTTCAAGAAAAAATATGCACACATATGGGGAGAATGATAAGGAAATGTGGGCAGTGTTAGCAACCAGGAAATCCGGGCAAACACCGTGAAAACTCTGTGTATTTTTGCAACTTTTCTCTAAGTTTGAAATTATTTCAAAATAATTTTATTAAGGCACAAGAGTTAATGTGAGAAGGACAGCAGTGGGCAAAGAGGGCAGTGTCAGCATCTAGGGAACAGAGTCTGCATGGAGTGAGCCATCTAAATAAAGACCCACCGTCCATGGAGAGCTGCTGGCCACCGCTCATTATTTTCATAAATGAAGGGAACGAACCTCACACTTGCCCCGACTTCACAGGACTCGTGTGCTTCAGGGGGGCCAAAGCGCTGCTGGGGGGGGCTCCTGTTGACAGGAGACCACAGGAGAGTGGCGGAACTGGGACGCCACCAATCTGTACCCAGGGAACAGCAGGCATGGTCGTGAGCCCTCAGGTGACAGTAATTCACAACAGGTACGCCAGGGAATCAGCACCCGAGCCCCCCAGGACCACCAGCCACAGGGGCCTCTGCAGGTGACATGTTCACCAACACCCAAGGCTCAGAGATGGGTAGTCCAAGGAGAGCAGGTCCCGACCCAAACTGTCCAACTGTAAATACCATGAGCACCTGACGTCAGACTAGGCTCGGGGTCCTTGTTAGTTCAGGGGCAGGGACCACGGCACATGGTCAGGATGAAAGTCCTTATCTATCAGAGGTCCACCCTGCAGCAATTATGGGTAAACTCATTAAAATTTCTGAGGCTTTTCTTAAAACTCCAAATTCATGCAAAAGGATCATCATTTTGCTAAAAATACTTGAAATATTATTTTAAGTTCCCTTATCTGATTCTTCCCAAATACAGTTGCCATTAACCCCTCCCCCTCCAAAGGAGGGTCTCAAAAATTCTAGGAAGGAGTCATTCTGTCTAATCCCTGGACACCAAACCCAACAGAACCCTCTGTGCTCTCCCTGAAGCCCACCTCGCCCTGGCTGTTATGCGCGGGCACAGTGAAACCCACCCTGCACACCACCTGCCCGCCGAGGGCTGACCCGCAGCCCTGACCACCCAGACCCTCAGCAGGGGAAGCAGCCCCAACAACCCCCCTCCCAACAGTCGTGGCAGCAGGGTGGTGGCTGGGACTTCCCGCATGTGGGAGTCCCAGCCCCAACATCCTCTACAGCACCAACAAAGGGCAGACGCGTTCCATCAGCAAAGGCAAAAAAAAAATAAATAAAGCAGGCTTTCACCAGCTTTTGCCAACGTCTGGACACAGCTGTGGCTGCCCTGCTGGACGTCCACCTCAACCCTTGCCCAGCCCAGCCCCGCCCCAAGTTGGCCCAGATCTCTTCCCTCCGGGAGGGCAGAGAAAGAGGGAGGGGTCAGGGCCAAACGGGAACCATAAAGACACAGCACACTTCACTCAGCCTCCGAGGACAGGAGGACGCACGGCGCTGCAGGGCTGTGGGATGACTGAGATGTCGTCTTGGCCCCTACCTTGGCGTGCTTGGTGAAAGTGGCGCTGGACTTCCGAGGTGATCCGGCGTCTGTGCCCCTCTCGGAGCTCAGCTCAGTAGAGGCCTGTGAGGAACCCCGGAGCAGGAGCAGGTCGCAGGCGCAGTCGGCAGCTCCTGAAGGCCACCCTGCGTGCCCCACGCCAGCCCTCCCGGCAGCTGCCAGCCAGCCTCCCCCAGGCACAGACTCCAGCGTGTCTCCCCACTGTGCCTGGAGCAAAGGTCTGCTCAATCCCAGGCCCATCCACAGAGCCAGCTGGGCCCAGCGCATCCTCAGAGGTCAGTCAGACACTGGAACACACACTCACGTCACCCAAGGCCTCCAGGTTGGTGTGTAAAGGCAAACGGGACAGAGCAGGGTGGGGCACCCACCCACTCTCGCCAGGTTTGCACACACGCCTGGCGGGAGGAGAGGAGGGCCTGGGCTGCCTGTGTGGCACAGGTACAGAGGAGGCGCCGAGTGGCAAGGCGGGCAGACAAGGGTGGAGGGCAGAGCCCACCTGCCAGACACGGGCACACTACAAACACCTGTCGGCACTCTCCCTTTCTATGGCCGGGAAGGGACTTCCCTGTTGGCCTGGGCCACACCTGTACGGGGGCTGGCCGACCCACAGAGAAGCTCTGGTACTTGAAGGGAACGTGGGTGGTCTCCCGGGGGCGCAGGTAGAGCTGGGGGGCCAGGCTGCCGCGCAAGTGGAACATGTCCTCCTCCAGGGGTGTGTGCAGGCCGGCGGCGTCTTTGAAGTACCTCCACTCCTGGCTGTCCAGGATGACACTGGAGGGAGGCAGCGGGGAGGCCGGGGCTGTGGGCAAAAGCTGCCCTCCCCCAGAGCCGCCCCCGCGGGGGACAGGAATCAGCATAGCACCGACCCAGCGAGGGGCCAGGCAGGAGCTGTCACCTGAGCTCAGGGTTGTCGATCTCGATGGTCACCGTGTGCTGGATGTTGTGGGGGTTCTTAAGCGCGAACTCGAAGAACTCAGCAGTGCCCAGGGTGGCGTAGAGCGTGTGCTGCGTGGTGACGGCCAGGCTCAGCACGCTGGCAATGCTCTCGGCCTTGGTGCGCTCCCGGTAGGCGTCAATGACCTGCAGGTCCCGCGAGTGCTGTGCCCGCACGCTCTGCTGGGCCTGTCAAACACGGGCCAGCTGGCTGTACAGGCCGGGCGTGTGCCCTCCTGGGCGGGGCCTGTGTGCCGCCCCACTCCAGGGCATCAGACTTCTGGAAAAGCACGACTGACCCTGCCTTGGCCTGAGGCTCGGGGACCAGCCCACCCCCCAGCGCAGAGAGCCTCACAGCATCAGAACAGGGAAGGGGCACACCTTTCCCTCCATGGGGAGGCCCGCGCGGCACCCCAGCTTCTCTGCCTCATGGCAGGGGCGCCCTGCCTGCTCCCGAGACCCCTCCCAGGGGCAAGGCTGGCACCCAGGCTCAGCAGGGCAGCTGGACACTGTGGCTTCAAAGAGGAAAGAATGGCCTCAAACCTGAGCCTGGCGACAGAGCTGGCCCCCAGGTCCCCACGTGGTGTTGAGAGCCCGGCCTGTGACCATGTCTGCAGGAGGCGTGTCCCCTGTACCCCATCCCAGTGTTCCCAGCAGCCTCACACTGGGTCCAAGTCCAAGAGGCTCAGCCCCGCCTGCTCACGCGCCCTGAGACGCAGAGCTACAGCCCGGCACGTTCCGTAGCTGGTTTACGTCTGAGCCTTACATTAAAAAGTGAGGCTGCTTCAAGGCCTAGATGGGGCCTTCCCCACACCAGGGTGTCCCAGGCGGCAGCTGCTCCAAGGTCCACCTGGCCAGGCACAGAGAACTCCTGCCAAGGCTGAAGAGCTGGGATGGCAGTGAGCAGGCTGCCTGCAGCTCCCACAGACTTGACTGAAGCCAGCCAGGAAGTGACTTTGATACCAACTGGCCAACGTCCAAAGCCCTGGCCTTTTCCTTGCAGGGATGGGAGTTGGAAGTAGAGGGTGTCCAACTCTCCCTGGAGGCCTCTTATGGGCATCTGGCCACGAGACCCTGTCCAAGCAGTGAAGCCTCTGGATGGTGGTGCTGGGTCCCAGAGCCAGACATGAGTTAGGATGAGGAGGGACCAGGAGTTGAACGGGCACCTTTCTGACGTGTGCCCAGTGGAGGGGCCTACACCTCCTCTGCCCACCAGTGGTGCAGTCCCCAGGAGGATACAGTGGCAGGCTTTAAGAAGTGGCCCACTTGAAGACACGAGCAAGACTGCCTATTAGACCAGCTGTCCAGGGAGGGCATGGGGTGACCATACTTGGTATAACGTGAGCACAATGGATGCTTGGGGCCGCAGGGGGTCCTTCTGGCCCATTCCTGTCTCCTTCCATGCCACAAGGACCCTGTCAGCCTAACGCCCCACCCCCTGTCCACCCACAGGAGACAGGGTGACTCCTGATTAGAAAGTCCCAGGACATCATCTGGCCAGACAGTGCTGCCCTGCCTCTGCTCCTTCCTCTGGGTCCACCTGCCTGGAGACAGCATGGGTGCTCCCACTGCTCTTGGCCAGCACACAATTAGGGGTTCACAGTCCTCCTGTGGAGAAGGCCAGGCAGTGCCCAGGTCAGGCGGGTCTGTCCTTAAATCCCAGGCTCAGTGTCAGGAAGCTGCCTGCTGCCAACACGAGCCAGCGCTCCAGGTCAGTGTCACCAGCAGAGAGCCATCAGAAAGAGAGCAGTTAGCTGCTGCTCTCCCATCTCGTTCCTCCATCAATTCGAAGCCAAAGCAAAAAAACAATGATGGTCCCCACTGGGTCCCTCGGTCCCCGGCTCTCATCGCTCCCAGTGTGGTCCTAGACACTGGCTCAGGCCCAGGCACATCACGTAGGCAGTGAGACAACGGGCCGTCTGCTCACTGTACCTCTGGGAAGCAAGCTTTCCCCTCCATGGCCCTCGGCCTGACATGAGAGCATGGCTCTTGGGAGCACAACATCACTGTGCAGCTGAGGGGTCACGCCTGGGCTGTGGGGATGCCACCTAGGGAGGTGGAGGGTGAGGATGCTATACAGAGGGCAGCTGGGGGGACCTGACCCTGGTGAACAATACAGCTGGCCCTGCCTGGGGCTGTGCAGTTACTGCATCAAAGGACTCGTGTGGGGACAGCCACTGAGCAGAGCAGCAGGGCCAGAAATCAGGGTGAGGGCCTGGGACCTGTGCTACAGGCCACTGCATGCTGGATTCCTGTCACCTGCAACCCCATAGCATCCCTCACCCCTGAACAAGAGTGGCAGCCTCCCTCTCAACCCAGGGTCTCCCTGCAGGCCTCTGGCTGCACACATGCAGTGGCTACCACTGATCATGGCAGTCACTATGGGCACTGGACACACAGTAGGCTGTGACCCTCACAAGGAAGAGGAGGCACAGGGACGGAGTGTCCCTTGGTATTACAGGGTAGGGCATCGGGTTGCTGGAGGACCATTTTTCTTGTCTCTTGTAACCAGGATTTGGAAGAAAGTTGACAGAGGACCAGAAGGAAGGGAGGACAGACATGGGTACACAGCCTGGACCCTCACCAGTATGTTTGTTCTGCGGCTGCCCGGCTCCCCTCCGGATTCCTGCAGGCGCACAGACCGCATCCTCTCCAGCTTGCGCCTACGGACAGCATCAGCCTCACGGCCAGCACCCTGGAGCCCCTGGCCGCCCCTCACGTGGGTCAGCAGCATGGCGGCCAGGTCGCTGTCCACATCGGCCAGCTTCTGTGCTTGGACCACATTTTTTCCTGCTGAAGGGTCAGAAAAGGAGTCAGGGGTGACTGTGTACAGTCCATGCTCTCCAAGCAGACAGTGGTGGGCCACCCAGAACCACTTTATCCAGACAGGAAGCTCCAAGAGTGAATCTGATTCTTCTTTGTAGGTCCCCTCTGCGAGTTCTAAGGTGCTGACAGACGACAACTCCCAAGCCTGAGCCCCACAGCACCTCTTCTTTCACCAGCCTCTCAGATAAAAAGAATTTGGAGTCTGGTCCTTGGATACTCCATTAGGTGACTTTCTGGTGGGAGGCTCATGTGCTTGGATCTAAAGGGCACCAACACCAGCCAGGATGCGGCTGCAGCTGAGGCGGCCCCTCCGGGAAGCGTCCTGTGCTCTCAGGGCACCCTCACCCAAGCCCACGTGTGCCATCACCAGTCAAGCTCAGCTCAGGAGCAGGGGGCTATGAGGGGCTGTGTCCCTTGGCTGGAAGCCTCCCAGTGTGTCAGAGGCAGACGGAGTTCAAGTCAAGCCTGGCTCCAAATGCCCCTGGACCACCTGAGCCCAAGAACAGCCTATGTCCTTGGAGGGTGGGCTACTCACACCCTGAGCACCAGGAAAGCCACCAGCAGGTGACAGAAGCAGAGTTGTGCTCACCCTACCCCATCTCCTACGGAGGCAGGGCTACAGGTGGTGGTGGGACTACCTTCAGGGACAAGGCCACATCAAGAACTGACACATGAGACTCCCTGACATCCAGCTGCCGGGCCAGGAAGGCCAGGTAAAGGGACACCCCGACCTAGGAGCCAGGTACTCCTGGCGCACAGCCACCACCAGAAGTTTCCTTGGGCTAAGCAAGGCCTGCAGGGACCCTCCTGGCCAGGTCCACCTTCCATCAGACACGGAGGGCGTCCTCCCAAGCAGCTCTCCTCTCCCCTCACAAGTGCCACTGCCAGGTCCCTCGCCATCATTCTATTTTAAAGCCATACAATTGCTTTTTAGATGCCACAAGTTGGTTCCAATGTCTTACCACCCCTAAAGGGCATTTCCACGTCTAAGGGCGCAGGCATACGGGAGGAAGCCCAGCCCAGAATCACGGCTGAGCTATCCAAAATTTAATATCCACATTAAAATGAGGAGCGGGCCCAAAACAGACTCATGGCTCCCCTGGGTCATGGGTCCCTCCGAGCTTCTGCTGAGCACACAGGCCTCTGTCCCTGGAAGAGTTCGGTTGTGCCTCAAGGTTCAGGGGTTGGACAGTGGCGTCCTCAAGGTCTTGCAAGATGGAACCCAGAGCCCCACCCAGCTCCAACAAGCCATGGCTCTGCCTCGCTCCTGGACAAGGCCAATGAAGTCAGAGGACTACCCACACAAGACGGCTCACGGCTGTTTCAGATTCACAGGAGACTCTCCACAACATGTGGGGAAAAGGCCACTTAAAAAGCATCACCCATTTTTAGTTCAAATGGCGTGTTGAGATTTAGGTCTGTGGGTTTCATTTCCCAGCACCTCACTGCCGTGAAAAGCACTTTTGCCAAACCCAGATCTTGCTCTCCAGACCCAGGTGTTTCTTTCCAAAGCTCTGTAAGTGGCTAGGAAACCAATGGGGAGTTTCAAATGTGCTTTTAAAATCAGCTGAGGTCCACCCTGACCTTTCCCCTTCCCTGACCAAACCCGAACGCTGCCATGGAATTACCATCTCCCCATGAAACCACACTGCTGGCCACAGGGCCCAGCCTGGGGGATGTGGTGGGGACAGTAGGTCCAAAGGACCCTCATCAAGGCCGGAAGCTGGTCACAGCAACCACTTGCCCCGGCCCCAGAGGGCCCCCAACACCACAAACACAACATGTACACCCTCTTGTCCTGCCCTGCCCCACAGTGCCACTCACCACCACCCAGGGAGCCCCACAGCCTCGACTCACATCTTGGGCCTCCCCTTGGGAGGAGGCTGCCTCCAGAGAAGCGACTGGCTCCGTCACTGGAGATGACCTGAGACCTGGAGGGTGGCAGCAGGCTAGAACCCCTCACTGGCCGTTCACACGTGTGACCTGAATAAAAAGGATCCGGCATGAAACAGACACCAAGGGGGAGGCTGACGAACCAGCAGCCCTTGCTATGAGGGTTCCAGCCTTCAGCCAGCACCCCAGCACCCACCTCTGCTCGGAACGCTATTTGGCAGGCAGGGCCCCTTGCACTCTGTCTCTGAGGTGCACCTTCCCACCCTCCCACCGTGAGGATGGAGCGGTGCACCTGTGTGTGGACTCACATTTTTTTTTTGGACAAAGGGTCTCACTAGGTTTCCCAGGCTAGTCTCCAATTTTTGATCCTCCTGCATCAGCCTCCTAAGTCACTGGGAGTACAGGTGTGCACCACCACACCTGCCAGTCAACACGGTTCTCATCCCTGGATTTCTGGACCGTCACAGGGAACATATCCTGCAACCTCAGCCTCTGGAATTGGGCACTGCTGGAGGACAAGCCTTCATGCTACCTGAAGGCCAGAGCCTTCCCAGCTGGGGCACTGGGGCAATTCCAGATGGAGACCCAGAAGCACTGGCCACACCTCCCTGCAGCTGAACAGTGCAGTGCCCCAGGGCCTGGCAAGGACCCAGCCCCGAGGAGAGCAGTACCTCCCTGGGCCACATGTACACCCACCCCCTGGCTTCTCAACCGCCTGCATCTGATGGCCAGTGGGTCCCTGAACCACAGGTGAGGCCTCAGGTCCACCTGCATCTGACTGTGATGAGCACTGGCCTGTTCCAAGCCTGGTGGCACGAGGCTCTTGGGAGACAGTGACCCAGGAAATTCTTTCAAGGTCGGGATCCAGTCCACATAGCTCACAGGTGGGCGACACCATTCTTGGAGCCTGGGCTCCAGGAGGGTGGGTGATGACAATCACCACAGCCATGAGACCAGCAGGACCACATGGACCCACAGAGGAGGCCACAGCAGGCCGCATCCCCACCCCACCCAGGGCACTCGCACCTACAGCACTGACTGTTGGAAAGATGGGAAAATAGACCAGGTGAGCCGAACTCACATCCGCATGCCTCCTCCAGTGGGGATGGGCACAGTGTGCCACCTTACACTGGTGAGACAGGGTGATGCCAGGGAACGAGGTGCCCGCAGCAGGGGCCTCCACACACGCAGGCAGGGCTCAGGCAGTGGCCTGTGGCTGAGCACAGCACGCCACCACCAGCTGTCTGGCCCCACACCTTGGTCACTTGTCAAAGTCCACATCCTGGCTCTCCGTGAAGCATGCACTTGGCTGCCCTACGTTCCCTGAGGACACAGACACTTGACCTACGGGGACATCTGCCTGACAGCTGCCTGCAGGAGGTTGCAGAAGTGAAAACCAATTTCCCAGCTGACCTGCTGGCCTATTTCACAACCAGATCACCAGGGGAAAGAAAGCAACACATTTCTGGCCATCCCTGGAGGACAGCAACCGAGGAATTTGTTTCAAGGTCAAGATCAGGCCACAGATCAGAACACAGTGTGGAAGAGACTGCTGAGGAGCCAGGGTGCCTGGGAGGAGAAGCACCAAGCCAGAGGACAGTCCTCTGCCCACCACAAGACCCAGGAGCCCTGAGTGGGACTGGCAGATGGCTGCGTCTCCACAGGCAACCCTGCGTCCTTGCTCGGCCTCCCGCTGGAACAGGCGCTGCGCAGCGCCCGCTTCTGCCCCCGAAGGCTCCCACAGAGGTCTTCCTATGCACTGGCAGCGCCTCTGTGCCACGCACAGTAGCCAATTTTATAAAGAAATAAAAGCCATACCACTTTATTCTTTAAAAAAAATTTAAAAAAGCACAAAGTTCACAAGCGCAGCTGCAGGGGTGCGCAGTGCTGCGTGAGCATGGTCCCCTGCGGCAGCTCCCCTCCGGTGCTCAGAGTCCCTCCTGCAGGCCGCAACTCTCCTTCCCCTGGGCTTATCTCTCTCTCGCAGGCAAAGTATGGAAATGACAATTTAAGATAACATATAATGGAGCCCATCTTTCTCCTCAAGATAAGATTAAGGCCTGGAGTCACTGCACACTTGTGGGCGGGTGAACTAACGTAAGCGCAGCCAGGGGCTCCAGCAGAGGCCTGTGCAGCTCGGCGAGTGCTCAGACAGCGCCTGCCGCTCACATGGGGCTCATTCACTCCTCCAGAACCTAACTGAGCCTCGCTGGGCCCGCACTGTCTGCCTTCCAGGCTGTCGGCGTCTACACTTGTAGACAAGCAGGCAGAGCCTCCCAGAATTAATGGGCTGTGCGCTCCCTCCCGCTGCCACCGCAGCTCTGACACCCTGTGCTGTGCCTGCACATGGTGGAGTGGCCCGTGGGTCACCAGGACGCCAGGTCAGACCAGGTTTTGAGCAATGGAAAATTCCCTAATACGATAATAGAGGCCTGTGTCCCAGCCTCGTGGAGTGTTCCAGAACCTTCCAATAGCTTGTCTCACTGCACTTCCCATTTTGCCTAGAAAAGCCCAACCGTTTCAGAATATCCCCAAGGGAAGATCAGTGGGCATGCCACAGGACCAGCAGGATCCTTGTTGGCCCTCTGGGGTGGCCACAGGCAGGCACCTAGCCTCTGGAGATCTCCACCCATCAGCACTGAGCAGCCCCAACCCCATCGCTGCCCTCTGTTGGAAACGGGAAGCCCAGGTGGGACCATGCCGAGCCCCCGACCCCGGCCCAGACACAGAGAATGAGAACAGGACTCTGCTCAGTCTCTGCCAGCAGCCCGTGGGACTCCATCTGCTCAAGATCTCAGTGCCCGAGAGAAACTCCCCTCTCACCCTCCCGAGCTGCTCGGAGGGTGCGGAGCATCTCCTCTCCTCTGCAACGGGCAGTTATGTTGACTGCACGTCCAAACAGGAACACCCTCCCAGAATCCAGCCACTTGAGGACTGTCACAGAGTCACTGGGATGACCCACGGAGAGCACCAAGAGACATCACGTGGGCCAGTCTGAGGTGGCAAGGATCTCAGTCCTGGTCAGGAGCTGAGGTGAACTCCTGAAGCCAAGCTGACCTGCCTCCCGCTGATTCCTACCAAGTTCACAGCGCCCACGCTGCCGCTGGCCCTCACGCTCCAGCAGAGACCAGCCGTCCCCGGAAACAGCACAAACCCAGGCAAAGCTGCCAGGACTCACCCACGTTGGCCAAGGTCAGGTGCAGCAGGCCCCTCACCACCGTGTGGACACCAATGGGCTTGACGCTGCCAAACCTGGTCACGGCTCCACTCACCACAGACGCGTCCTGCTCATACTCGGTCGCCACGACCTCGAGCTCATGTGGCACCTGCACAGCCGGCCGCCCCTGGCGGAGGAGGTGCTGTGAAGGAGAGACAGGCGCTCAGGAGCTGGGTTCCACCACCCCGCCCAGGGATCCCTGCAGGTGCAACCACTCCAGAGCCCCGAGAAAGACCACTGAGCGTGGGGAAGGCCAGGAACCCGGAGCCCTGACCACGTACACGCTGCGGGGGAGACCTCCTTAAACCGCGAGCCCTCAGCATCAGGGGCTTCTTCAGAGACTCTGGAAGTGGACCCAACTTGCCCCCTGAAAACACTGCCCCTGGGGATGCACAGTGGCCTGGCACCTGCCCTTCACAGGGAGAAGGACCAAAGGTGGGCAGTAGAAAGAGATAAGGACCCTCCACTGAGCCGAACTCAGGGCACTCAGGAGTGACCTGGGCAGCAGTCTGAACTGATGAGCACAGGCACAGGGCAGCGGAGGCCAGCAGGGCAGGGGAGGCCAGCAGGGCAGGAGTGCACAGCACAGCCTGCACGACTTCATTGCGGCTGGAGGTGCCCAGAGGGCCGGGCAGGGGCCACAGGGCACAAGGGCCAGCTGTAGCGCGGGGCTGAGGCCCGTCGGGAAGTCAGGCAGAGAGAGCACAGGGACGCGCCAGAGCCAGGACCTTGCCGGCCAGGGTCTTCACATTCCACCCCCAGCCTCCGCCTGAGCCCAGGAGCTTGCTGGCGTGCAGGGGACCGTGCTGCCATCACGGCTCCAGCCCGCTTGCACTTTCTCTACTGCTCCCTGGACCAAAGCAGAGGTGTGGAATGTTTTCCAACTCTCACTGCAACCAAAGCACCTGCCTCTGGGAGTGGAGAGGCAGACCCGAGCCTGCCCTCGGCTCCATCAACGCAGCACCTGCTGGCCTGGCGCTGCTCGTACCCACTGCCCGACTCACAGCATGCACGTCCCCAGGCCAGGACCCCGGAAGATGAGGTCTGGGAAGACTCCTCTGAGAAGGGGCAATAAATATAAGAAATAACGTCAGCCTCACGAGGAGCCGTGAACAGACACAAAGCAGCACCCTCGCCCACCAAGCCACAGGGACTTAAAGAGGCCAACACCCTTAAAAAGGACACGTGTGCAGCAGCCCAGGCCCTCTCATCTGCAGGCCTTGCCAGCCTCTGGGCCGTACCCATCTGGCCCTGTGCACCTGCCACCCTCGCTCGGCAAGGAATTCTGCTGCCTAGAACCTGTCGTCTAGGGACAGTGGAACAAGCACAAGTTTCGAGTCAAAATCCTGAGTCGGAATTGGGCTGAAAACCCACCCTGGTTGTCATCAAGCGTGACCCTGGGCTTCAGCCACACCAAAGGGAGCACGCAGCTGCTGGCAGCAGCTCTTCCGGTTGCCACAACAACACAAGAGACACAGGAAATTCAGCTCCTTCAGTTACAGGGCCGTCTCGGGCACGCCCACCAGCAGGCAGAGGCGAGCCACAGGCAGCCTTGGTGGGCAGAAAACAGGACGAGCAGGCGGGGCGGGCGGAGCGCGGCTCGGTGAGGGCCCATGTGCGCACACTCGAGGCCCAGAAGAGAAAGGACAGCACAGCACTGACCACCCAGGACCACGCCACAGGAGGCCACCTCTCCCACCTTCACTTCCCACCTTTGCTCCTTCAGTTTTAAACCTAAAAGACTTTTTCACTTAAAGTTAAAAGGGTTTTTATTTTTATTTTTTTAGTTGTAGATGGACACCATACCTTCTATCTATCTATCTATCTATCTACCTATCTATCTCTCTATTTATTTATATATTTATTTATTATGCGGTGCTGAGGATCAAACCCAGGGCCTCACACGTGCTAGGCAAGCCCAGCCCCTGAAACTCAGTTTTCCTTGGTCCAACTCTGTCAATACACATCACGGCACGGCACTGGGCTAAGGGCTGCTCTTACGGGAGGGAATCAACGGCTTCTGTCTCCAGGTATGAAGGTGAACAAGGACGCAGGGTTTGGTTGGGCCAGGCCCCAGGGGGGTGAGCCCCCCTGGGCAGTGCGTGTAGCCTGGCTGTGCACCCCACCCTGCTCTCGGGCAGTCAGGGCCAGGGTGGGAGGCACAAACAAGACTCTGAAGACCAGGAGGGTTACAGCAACTGAGTCCTTACTGGCAGACCCTGCCCCAGGCCCCTACACCCACAGCTCTACCATACCCCTAGGGAGCACATCCTCCTCACTAAAGACACTGAGGCGGGCTGAGTCACAGGGTGCACAGGGAGTCAGAATCAGAGGAGGGAGGGACAAGCTGAGCCCAGGAACAGCAGCCTGCTGTCAGGGACCCCTGGTGCTGCACATGGGAGGACAGAGAAAGCCAGCACATGGCGGAGGAGGGGCAGAGTGATGGCCAGGTCTGCGTCTCATGCTCAGCGGCCGCTAGAGGGCCATATCAATAGAGGGGCCCAGAGTGCAGGAGGGTGTGGTCACATGGGGTGGAGGCAGGAGAGACCCAGGAGCCATGGTTATGGTGTCTCCTCCCCCTACCCCCACAGGCCTTGAGAGCAAGGCCCAGGACATCCCGCAGAAGCACACAGCAGTAGTCATGGTGGTCTGCCTCTGACCCACTGTGGTCCCCTGCACGCAGTAGGGAAGGTCTGCGGAGAAGCCGCGGAAAGCGCGAGGACAGGACAGAGCTGGGTGTCAGGATACGGACAGGCACGGTTGGGGGGGTGTTGATTCTAGCTAGAATTCCTTCACTGATGACCATGCCAAGTTTTCACCCTTGTCCCTTGTTCATTCCACCTTCAAGGCCACCCACCTGGCTCCTGCCCTGGGGAAACTTACATCATCACACTCAAGGAACAGCAGACGACAGGACCTGGCAGGCCAGCTTGCAGGGGAGCTCAGCAAGCCACACCTCGCCTTCTGTTCAGAGCACAGAGGGCTCAGCACTGTTCTCAGTGGCAAAAAGCAAACCACAGTCCAGTGCTGCATGGTGACCAGCTCTCCATGGACTGCCCTGTGAGCCATGCCTGGCCTGAGCAAGGCCGTACCTTCATCTGGACGGCGGCAGATCCAATGAGGAGCAAGGAGTCCCCGTCCCAGACGTCGATCTGCAAGGTCTGCACGGCCAGGTAGCGGAGGAACCAGCGCTGCTCGCCCGGCTTCAGGAAGCCAGGGCCCACCACGTACCTCAGCTGGAAGCCAGGAGACCCTGTGCGAGGAGGCCCCATGAGGGCCCAGAAGTAACTGGAGTCATTCATCATCTTTACTCTCTGAAGAGATCTCTGCTCGGGTCATGATTACCAATTTCTGCTTCCGTCATATTGATAGTTAAAAAACACATTAATCAAAAACATCATAAAATGCCCCAATTAACAAAGCCAAGAGTCATGTTCAGAAGACTACACTTCTTTTCAATGTACACAGTAAACTTCCAAAATAAGATTTATGGCTTTCACCAAGTCCTTGTAAAACATCTATGATGGATGGGAACAAGCGCCCTGATGAGGCTCGCTGGGAAGCTCATTATTCTGGGCACGCAGAATTTAAGGAAAAACGCAGCCGACATCTGCTGTCAATATGGTGCACGCACGCACGCACACATGCACACACATGCACACACACACACACACACACACACACACACCTCTCAAGCGGAGCAGGTGCTTCAAGCTTGTTCAAGTGTGGGAACTCGGGACCTGGAACGGGGCTGCCCTAACACAGGCCGGGCAGCACCCCACGGGGCTTGTGGGCTCCTCTTGGAGGCAGTGCCTGGCTATGGGGCTGAGACATGAGCCGACTGCAGCCAGCCTTCGTCCTGAAGTGGCACTATCATTAATTCTAAATTGACACAAATGCCACTGAAACTTCCATTAGATGAGGTTCAGGGACAGCAATGCTGGCAAGTTCAAATCAATACCCCTGGTCTACCCCCACGGATCAGCATTTGTGAAGCACCAAGGAGCAGAACCCTGGTCTCCAGGAAGAAGGGGCAGGAGTCTGTGTGGTCCTCCACTGGACTGAGGTTTACATATGGTTGGGCCACAGGTTCCCTCTGTGACTCCATCTCAGGCCACCTGTCCTCAAGACCAGGTGGCAGTGCAATTACTAGAGGGAGGGACACAGCCTAAGACCTTGAGCTTCAGCCCCAGGGTGGGTCCCAGGGAAGCAGGGTGAGGAACAGCTGCTTAGGCCTGAAGGGGCATCTCACAGGGCCAAGGGCACGTAAGAACCCAGGACAACAAGGAGGAGCTGGTCACCAAGGCCAGTGGCAGGCAGCATGCCCCAGCATGGCCTCTCAGAGGTGGCAAGACCCTCACCCCAAACTCAGCCTGGTCCTGCTCTGAGGACTCAGTGGCCTGCGATATCCGGCTGGAGCTCAGGACACCCAGGTTCAGGTGGGATCCCAGTGTCACACACCCACAGAGCAACACCCACCACCAGCAAAGGAAACGACAAATGACACAGCAGAGACCATTCCAACTGACATCAAAGACAAAGGCTGACCACTGCGATGGATGAAAAGCCCCTACACGGGACCAAGTAGACGGGTGGCCCGACAGAAACCCGGGAAAGACAGGAACAGAAGTCCGCAAAAAAGGACGAGCATAAAACACACTGAACTTCACTCATTAAAACTTCACTGAGGCTGGCAGTGGTGGCACACACCTGTCATCCTGTGCCGTGGGAGGAGGCAGGAGGACCACAAATTCAAGGACACCCTCAGCAACTAACGAGATGCTGTCTCAAAATAAAAAGGACTGGGGAATGTATTTCAGTGGAAAAGCACCCGCGGTTCAATCCCCAGTACAAAAAATAATGATAAAATACAACAAACTTCATTGAGGCTGATGTTACTGTTTGCATGTGAGGTATCCCCAAAAGCTCCTGTGTTCAAGTGAGATAATCGGATTGTGAGAGCTGTAACCTAACCCATGGACTGATCCATTTGATGGATTCTTAATCTGGAAGCACTACTGCGTGGGTGTTGACCGTATGCAGGTGGCACGTGGCTGGGGCAAGTGGGTCACGAGGGATGTGCACTCGGGGGTTACCTCTTGTCCCCGTGGCTCTGTAAGTGCACACATCTTTGCGTGCGTGTGTCTGACTCCCCCCCCCTTCCTGGTTTCCTCTGCCACACCCTTCTGTCATCATGGCCCAGAGCAACGGAGCAGGCCAGCCGTGGACAGACCTCCAAAGCCACGAGCCAAAATACACTGTCCTCCTCTAAGTGGTCATGTCAGCTTTTCATCACTGACCAAGATATCTGACACAGAAGCTGGTACTAAGAGTAGGGTCATTACTGTGACTAACCTGACCATGCAGCTCAGAAACCTCTGGAACTGGTTTGTAGGAGAATCTGAAAAAGCTTGGAGAAGCCGGCTGGCGAAGCCTTAGAATGTGTAAGCGGGAATCAACGGTGATTCTGGTTGGGTTTAGAAGACCACAGTGCCAACAGAAATGTGGACAGAAAAGACTATGTTCACGAGGTTTCAGAGAGAAATGAGGATTCTTTTGGAAACTGGACTAGAGGCTATTCATACTATATTCTGGCCAAAAAAAAAACTTATCTACATTTTTCCCATGTTCTGAGAGTTTCTATGGGGCTGAATTTAAAAGTGATGAATTAATTAACATGGCAGGTTGATTTCAAGTTTGCACAGCATTCAGGCAGTGACAACAGTGTGTTGCTGGCAACTTCCAGCCAGGTTTGCTTTTGAGAATCAGAAGCAAAAAGCAGAAAGGAGAGATTTTTAAAACTTGTCATTTGGCCAGAGAAGAAGCCCGGACAGCACTGGGGCTGAGGAAGGTGTGACTGTTGAAGAGATCACCACCAATAATGAGAAGCTAAGTACTTTGCAGAGTCAACAGGGAAAATGCCTTCAGGATGGCGACTCAGGAATCAGCAAGACCACACCCATTGCAGGCTCAAGGGTGCAGAACTGGAAACTTCTTTAAGAGACCATGGGGGCAGCCTGCTCACACAGGGATGCTGGGAAATCGTTTCCCTGGGATTCTGTTTTACCAGGCTCAGCCATGATCCAGGGGGCCCAGCTACTGCTCAAGCTGGTGGAAGATCCTGGCAAGGTCCCGCAGATGCCGGCTCTCCAGGAATGCAGGATTTAAGGGGTCATGGAGGCTTCCACGGATATTTCAAAGGAAGGCCTGGGAGGCCAGGCAAAGAGCAGCAGGGTCAGAGTCCCTGCAGGCAGTCCCGAGAGAGCCACGTAGGGAGGTGTGAGAAGCCAAAGCTGTAGAGGAGACCCTCTAGGATTAAAGGCTGCCAAGGAAGCATGCTGGCTGCAAACAAAGTCAGCCTCACAGAGAGGTCACCTGGGCTGCACCTGGCAAGGCCACAGGGCAGCACTGCTCAGGCCCTTCCGAGGTCTCATCTCACCTGGTGCAAGCGGGAGGGCTGGTGTGCTCAGCTGGCTCCGTACTGTGGCCCAGTCCTTCTTTCTACACCCTCTTCCTCCACTCTGGGATGGAAATGTTCACTCGGTGCCATTTTATATTGGATTCATGCAACTCGCTTTCCATCATTACAGGGGCTCACAACCAAGAATCCGTCTTAAGTCTCAGAGGAGTATTTAGACTTAAACTTTTGGGCAATGGTGAAACTGTTAAAGACTATGGGATGCTCAGAGATGGACTAAATGCATTTTGTATTTGAAATGGACATGAGCTTTTTGGGTGCCAGGGGCAGAATGTTATAGTTCGGATGTGAGGTATACCCCCAAATCTGTATTAATGCAGGAATTTCCAGAGGTAAAATGATTAGGTTGAGAGTTGTAACCTCATCTGTGGATTAACCAGTTTGATTAATTAGCAATTTTAAAGGACTATTGCTCTGGGTGGCAACTGCAGGCAGGTGGGGTGTGGCTGGAGGAGGTGGGGATTCTCTCCTCCCCGGGCTCCTCCTTCTCTCTGTTTCCTAGTTGCCAGGAGTTAAACATCTTTCCTCCACTACACGGTTCCACCATAAAGTCCAGAGCAACGGAGTCAAGTACCATGGACAGAACCTCTGAAACCATGAGCCCAAATAAATCTCTCCTCTTAAGTTGTTTTGGTAAGAAGTCTTGGTCACTGTGGTAAAAAGCTGCTAACACGGTTGATTTCCGTCTCCCTGACTGTAAGACCCCCAGCGTTGGACACCTCACCATGAGAGCAAGGTCATGGGGACAGGCCCAACAGGACTGGCAAGTTCCAGAGAGGAAGCAGCTGACGGACACTGGCACAATGCCCGCCGACATCTCTGCCATGGCGTGGATGTGGTGCAGTGTGTCTCAGGGGCTCATGTGCCTGGTCCCCAGTGTGCAGTGCTGAGGTGCCGGAGCCTTTGAAAGGTGGGGTGGCGCAAGGTAATGGGGTCAGGGAGCAGCACTCTGAAAACGGACTGATTCAGAGCAAGTTCTCACAGCAGTGAGTTGTCATAAAGAAGCAGACGCACAGGCTACTCAATGGCTGCCTTACTTGGGGCGGTGAAATACCAGAAAAAGCCCAAAGGCCCCCCAATCGGAGACTGGTAGAACAGACTACAGAACAGTCACCCCTAGCGTCCCACGCAGCCATAAAAAGGGATGCAGACCATGCCCGCGTTGAGTGGAACGCAGGACAGTGTTCACTGAGAAGTGCAGGGTACAGAAGAGTGTGCGTGGTGTGCTTCCAACTGAAGAGAGAAAGGGGGGAATAACAAAGATATACACACACTTCCTTTTGAAGACCAAACAAACGAAAACACTAGAAGGATAAACAAGAAATTGAAATCCTCCAGGAGACAGGACAGAGAGGAGCAGGAGGGGACGGGATGGCTAGGAGTCTCCAGTACACACTTGACGACAGTTGTGTATTTAAGCTGTGTAAAGTTCTTAAAAATGGAATCAGAAAGGAAGAAAAGCAAAACTAAAACTGCAAATATAAAACAAATTGAAACAAATGAATCCTACCAAATATCAAACTGGCAATGTAACTCCACCAAGGAAAGAATTACTTCCAGGGCCCCGGGTCATGCATCACGTCTGCACCCAGTGGGACAGAGCCTCAGAGCAGAGCCACGAGGCCCCTCAACTCCGTCGGGACAGGCTCTCCCATCAGCATCAACAGTGCAGTTCTCAAAGCCCATGATGTAGGCTGGAAGGCCAACAGGTGAGTAAAACTTACCAAGATCTACGATTTTCTGTGTAAGAGAAATATCAATAAAGTAAGGACCAG